CAATGTCCAATCTTCTTGTATCGATGATAATGTCTTTTTCGTTTCAGCTCTTCCACTTCTATGCGGTAGGTTTTCTTGAGGTCAGCCTCTTTGTGAAATTGACGTGCGCTTGTCGGAGTTTGTTGAGCTCCTGACGTTTCTCCTTCCAGCTCACTGCCAAAATGTCAGCGATCTCGTGTCGTACACTTCGTAGATTTCTGTAACATCGATTACATTATTATCGCCACCATATTTTGCCAGAAATAATTCCACATCCTGGGAGTCCATGTCGTCCGGTATCGCAGCCAAAAACTCGTCCTCCTTCAAAATAATCTTCGATTCAACCAGATATACATATATTGATTTCTTCCGCGACACCACAAAATCGGGAAAATATGACCTCATCGACTGAGACATAGTGTCGAACTTCAGCTCTCCTTGGGTTCTGGCGAGAACCACCGCCCTCTGTTCTTCATTTATTCCGCTGCACTGCAACAATATCCATCCCCTAGTTTCCTCGGGGAAGGTTATTCCAATTTTCCGCTTGCAGCGATCGAAGTACTCTCGGGCTCGGCCACGCCATTGCAAATTGTCTCGCCCTCACGGGCTTTAAGGCTGAAGATCTCGGAAATATATTTTCCCATTTCATCATTTTTCTCCTTCTTAGGCCATCGCTCATCGAGAAAATTGAAGATGACAATGTCGCCATCTTCCTTCTGGTAATCAGAGGCAAAAAGATGTTCTACGATTTCCAGGACTCTTCCTTGTAATAGGGTCCACACGAAGCTTCCCCAAATTTCCTTCGGGAATTTCTCCATCGTATTTATCTTATTGATAACCCATCGTTTCCACCACTTATATTTGCAGTGATCCACATCATCGCCCCCATTGAAGTACTTCAGGGAGGCGCCGATCTCCGTCATCGCTCCTACGATCCTACGCAGGGCCAATGGGAGCCGGGACGTACCCGGCTCCGTTACCAATGATGGTAGTACCCACTCCCAAACGCAGACCCTGCTGCGTGTATCTTTTTCCCTCTTGG